GCCCTGAGCGTGCTGGAGGAGGAGAAGGCTCTGCTGGGAGCGATATTCCCCCTGATACCGCTGAAATCCTCCTGCTGTTTAAATCACCTTCTCAGCGCCGTGCAGGAAGTTCTGGGGAGTTTCTGTTGTGCTGTGTCTGGAGTTTTAACCTCTGCTTGTTTCAAGACAGATGCTGTTGGCAGCATTCACTGTGTTGGACTGTCCTGGGCATGTAGCGGTGCCAAGATGTTGGTGCTATCGAGTGCTTTGTGGGCATGGTGTGGCCATCCCTCTTTATTGTGTGGACAGGGTGGGGAGAGGGGCTGCCTTCAAAACTGGTGTTTAAAGAGTAATTCTTGCTTCTCCTAACGTGTGGTGATGTCTGGTCGAGTGCTGTGACCTGCTGTCACCCCGCTGTGGCAGGCAAACGAGTGTCCTGTCCGTGCTTCACCTTGAAATGGGAAGGAGTGTATGGTCTGGACAAGTTGCTCATCCTTCTCGGTGTTTGGTTAATTAGTGGTTGGTGTTCTTGAGCCTGTCAACACACCTACAACTGGTCATGCTCAGTCAGGAGCAAGAGCAGCTCGTGCTGCCGCTCGGTGTGAGCTGGAGCAGCTCTTTGGTGCTCTACTCCTTGAGAACAAAGTTATTTTGCTGTTGACACCTCGTGTGTTTGGTTACGGGGGCTGGAAGCTGCAGTGTGTGCTCAGGGGCTGCACGGGGCATCCCAGCTCTTTCTGTAGAGCTGAGCAGCTGATCTGGGCTTTGTTTGTGTACAAGTTGGATGGTGGAGATGAATATTTACGTGGTAGTAGGTGGCAGGGGAGAAAGTGTTGTTTTGTGGCTGACTTACATGAAATTCCTGTTGTGTAAACACAGGTTTGGTGCTGCCGTGTGTCATTTAGCCCTTCTGTGTACTTCAGAGGCAGAGTTACTCACGTTGGTACACAGTGATGATTAGGTTGTTGGAGTTCAGTGTGGGAAGGAGCACTGCCTCCTGCCGCGGTTGTAACACACGATCTGCTCCTGAGTGAGGAGCACGGGCTCACCCCGCTCACAGAGCTGGTCTTGTTCTTGTGCTGCATTTGCACCACGGGATCACAGCTTAGCACACAAAGCAGCAACTTCAGGAATGGCCAAACCAGCACACCCAGCCCTGGAAATCCCATTGCATTTCTTCTCTTTGGTTTTGTGGCTTCGGCAGAGAGCGTCTGTTGCGTGGTGGTGTTTTTAAATGAAACTTGAACAGCTGGACAAGCTTAATGAGAACACTTCAAAACTTAAGTTATATTCACGTTGAAGCTTGCAGTTGTACCTGTCAGCTGGATGAAAGCCTTTGTGCAGTACAGATGAAGCACTCTGAGTTACACCTTTAAACATCCCACATAATCTGCTTTCCAGATCTCACTATTGCCTGTTATAACAGTTACATTTGTTGGTGCCTTTCCAGGAGCTGAGGAGTAGTGCTTATCCTCTAACTGAAACAGCATTAAAGGTAACTTCTCAACTCTTTTCCTAGTGAAACGTGACGTCCAGGAGAACGATGAAGAGGCAGTGCAAGTCAAGGAGCAGAGCATCCTGGAGCTGGGCTCGCTTTTGGCCAAGACGGGGCAGGCAGAAGGTGAGCCTGAAACGAGTAACTGAGGTAATGGGTAAGAGACACATATGTTCAGAGTAATGTAGTCTCCTAGTTTGATGAGATGGAAATAAAAGGAGGTTTTATTCTGGCAGGGAATGTTCTCTTGGAGACAGGACTGGATAAACAAATAATGTGATAAAATACTAATATCACATGTTACTTGTCCTGGTATTTAAAAGGTTGCTGATGGATTGGGCAGTTTGGTTTCTGAACCTTTGATGTGTGGCCATTTTTTAATACATGTGGATAAAGTTTTGTTAAGTTGTGTTTAAGATGAGAAGTTTCTCAAGGCCATGTTTCAGATTGGAAAGTTTGTCCCAAAACATCCTTACTCACTAGCAGCTTCCTTCTCAATTGATTAAATTGATGTGAGACCCCCCCCCCCGCCGTTTATACTCCCCCCCGCAGTTCTGATCCAGCCCTGGGGCAACAGCACAAGAGGGATGTGGAGCTGCTGGAGCGAGGCCAGAGAAGGCCCCGGAGCTGCTGCGAGGGCTGGAGCAGCTCTGCTCTGGAGCCAGGCTGAGAGAGCTGGGCTGGGGCAGCTGGAGAAGAGAAGGCTCCTGAAGGGGACACCTTAGAGCAGCTCCAGTGCCTAAAGGGGCTCTAGGAAACCTGGAGAGGGGCTTTGGACAAGGGATGTAGGGACAGGACAAGGGGAATGGCTTGAACCTGCCAGAGGGGAGACTGAGGTGAGCTCTGAGGCAGAAGCTCTTCCCTGTGAGGGTGCTGAGGCGCTGGCACAGGGTGCCCAGAGAAGCTGTGGCTGTCCCATCCCTGGCAGTGTTCAAGGCCAGGTTGGACACAGGGGCTTGGAGCAACCTGCTCTAGTGGAAGGTGTCCCTGCCCATGGCAGGGGTTGGAGCTGGAGGAGCTCTAAGGTCCTTTCCAACCCCAACAACTCTGTGATTTATCTGCTGAAACATTACATCCTTGCCCAGCTGCACACGGGAGCAAGGCTTGACAGTCCTGTTTGTGAATGTGTGAAAGGACAGAAATGGAGTAGAATTCTCTATTCAACTTTTTTTTTGCTTGAACCTGTTCATGTCTCCTGTGCCTTGGAAGGCTCAGGGCAGTGTGTGTGTTCTGTTGTACTTGGCAGGTTGGTTTTGTTTCTTATGCTGGCCAATGCTCTGGCCTTTTCTGCAGCACCTTTCACCACAAGCGTTGTAAGAGCTGATACAGCACATCTGTACAAAGTGTGTCTGTCCATGGCAGACAGTTGGCCATGGTATAGCCCTGGTGGTTTCTAACCATGCACAGCAGTGATTCAGAATGTGAAGTGAAGCATATGTGCTTTTGACAGTCTGAAACTGGGTGAGGAAAACAGGCTAGCAGAAGATTTAGTTGAACTGAAGTTCATTTGGGAGATTGGAACTAAAGTCGGAGTAGTTCATGGAGAGCAGTGTGAGGTCTCCAATAGCCACTGATCAAGATCCAAGTTTTATCTTTACTCTGAAATGCACACTTGGTGTCCTGCTATCTTTGTAAACATCTGTTTTGATTTGGCCATTCATCTGCCCATGTGTTTGAGCATTCTGGACACTGATTGCCCTTGTGATTTGCAGTTGAACAGGGCCTGTGACAAAGTAGATTACTTGCCCTTAGATTAGTGCTGGAAACAGAAGTGCAGTTCATCTCACCTAACTATAGATGTCCATGTCTGATTTCCTACTGTGGGCTGCTTTTATAGTCAGTGGAGAAAAATAAGCCCTTCCAGAACACAATTAATCTCTTCCCACGGTTAGAAATTGGAACAAATGAAGCTTGTTGTACAAGTGCCCATTTCTCTAATTGAATATTAATTGACTTGAGGTCCTTTAATAGGTGTCTGCGCTGTACAGGTGCCCTTTGCACTCTCATGTTTGCTTCTGTAGAGATAACTAAACTTGGCTTTCCTCCTGCACCCGGGAAGATGTGTGTGTCTGGGCTAAAAAGGGGGAAATCATCAGAAGAGTCTCTTCAAGTATGTGTGTGGATGTGCTGCTCGTGTGGAGAAGCCTGAGAGAAGGGTTGTTACTGCTGCAGAACTTGGAATAGTTTTGAGTTGAAGCCAAAGTCTTACATGAGTGTAAAGAACTTCAGTGTGTTCTCATGGCTAGCTAATAGATTTCTTTAAGGGGAAGGCTAGATAATTGAAAATGAAAATGTTAACTCATCAAACCCAGGTTTATGAGGGAGCAAATGTGAAATGTGTTTGAAATGTATTAAGGGAAGCACTAAGCTGCAGATCAACAATGTTCTGAAGAAAATGAATTTGGCAATGCTAAGAAGCCAGTTGTGCGTGTGTAGATTGGAGTGAGATGACCAGGTTGTGCTTTCTGGAGACATGTGGTGTGGATGTGGGATGAAGGAAGAGGGTGCCACAGCCCAGGGGTGTGGTAAAGACTGTCACCTTCCCTTTCTGTGTGCTTTCTAGGGTGAAGCAGGCTATAGGAGTGAGGAGCAGTCAGGGGCAGCAGCATCTTCAGCAGGTACAACCCTTCCCAAAGATGCTAGCACCAGGCAGACACAGAGCTCAGATCCAACAGGAGTGAAT